ATTCAGGCCGATGCTTTTCATGCGAATCTGAGTGATCGACCGCATGAAATGTAATCCATTTTAATCTCTGCCATCCTGGCATATTATTCAGATTAAACGCCTGAATTTATTCGTTATGTTTATAGTTCGAATGATTACGGATGTATTTTTAGTTTAGGACATATTTTGAGGGAGATGTTGACATTGGGAACTGCCCAAAAAATGTTATCCTTCAAAGCCCAGTTCCATCGGTGAGACTGTCCCAGTCTGGATTCCCTCAAAACTTTCTCGTAATTCTACCCCGTTGTTTTCTCTCTTAATACCAACCCCGAGTAGCATGGAAAACTCCGGTTTTTCTTTACTCACTTTCCTTCATCCTCTTCATCATGCCGAGCCCCCCTCATCTACCGGGGTGCCCACCATCCCCACCTGGATATTAATCTTTCTGCTCAAAAGTTAGCAACGCTGAGTTATTAATCAAAGTCCCCCAGTCGCTCGCGGATCGTCGTATAATTTTAACTTGGTGGTACTAATCACAGGGTCCTACCAATTAATTCCGACTCTTGCACCAGCAAGCCAACGCCAATTTTTTTTTACCCTCCGCCACTCGGAAATTCTGATGAGTGGATGGGAAATAAGAAGTTGAAAAATTCCAAAAGAAAACCCCAACGAAAGCTCTCAACTTGAATTATTGACATAATCGATATCCCCCACCTTCACTCTGGAGTGATGCAATTACAGACGCGTTTGTGGAGTGAAAAATAATGAACATAAAAAAAATTATAATTTCCATCGGTGGAGTGGCAATTGCCGGCACGAAGAGTAATGAATGTGTATAGTTGAATTTTTACGAGGTCCTGATACCGGGTGTAATCAGCCCCAGTTGTTAATTGCCGGTTATATACCACCACAAGGTTTTCAACCAACCCAGAACAACCGACTTATTTATGACACCCGTACGTGACATTAAATTTATGCCTTTAAATCATCATAAACACCAGTAATCTCATCGACATCGATAATTTTTTATCCCTTTTCAACTTCGCATCAATAATCGTATAATTGTGTTGTACCCTACAATGGTGTATGACAAATTAAATCATCCGAAATGAAGAATAGTACGACTTAACGGCTGAATAATAATTCTCAACTGATGACAGTTGCCTGAGAAGCGCAGACTAACAAGCACGACAAACTTCAAAACAGCATCTGAAAGTTACAACTGAAACAGGATCTAATAAAAGTATTAAATATTTAAATAATTTATCCACAAGTTTCGTTAAACAAACTTGAAACAGTTTCACTTTACACGAGCTATACAGAACTGTCCATTAAGTTTGGAATCTGCAGTTTACGTCTGGTTGTGGATGAGGGTGAAAGAGAATAGTTGCGGTGCACCCAAGGTGGAATCGATGGATAGGTTCGGCCGTGTATCACGCTATTGAACGTAGATTCGGAAGATCGAAGGGGTTTCGGTATAGGAAAACAGTTGTCCAATAAGCAGATAGAAACTTGGCGGAAATCCAAGGGCCAGAAGTAATACGTTGCCGTGGGTACACTGAACTTGCGCTCCGGTACTATTTCTGGTGGGTATAGGTCCGATGGAAATAACGAGGTTCAGGGTTGAATGGAACTCATCGAGGGGAACAATCACAACTCCATTTCAAAGATCGAGAATGTCCTTCATGTTAAACTCTTTCTTTTCCCATTTATAACAATATTCATAAGTGACTCATTCTTTCATTACTCACGAAAAAATGCCAATTATTAAAACTAACAAACATCTTATTCCTATTTCAAAATTTCGTGACAGACGCCGTAAAGAAAATCTTCCTAATCCCTCGACTTTGAATTGATAAAGAGTTTCAGAGAAAAAACAACAATTCCACGCGATCGACCTCCGAACGTAATCCGTTTTAATCCCTGCCATCGTGCTTCACTTAATCGATTAAACAACTGAATTTGTTAGTTTGCGTGCCAGTGCAAGGGGCCGTGGATATATTTTTATATTCCTGCGTTATTTTCAGGTAAGCATTAACATTGAAAACTTCATGATCCCTAATCCTTTTGATCATTACTACGGAGCATTAAAAATGAATGAAACTAACGAACATCTTTTCATGATACGATTCCTCTTCAAATATTTTATGAAAACCTCATTAATTCTCTAACCTTCGCCCACGATGGTAGTCTGAAGGGCCTCGGTGAAAAGTAGCCTTCAGCAGAAGGACAATCGTCCAGCAATATCGATTGAAAGTTGGCGAGAATCCAAGGAAGGAGTAATATCTCGCGATCAGAGCATCGACATCTACTCCAAACCAAAGACCAGCCATTCGATGGTGTAGCACGACTCTAGTGATTGCATGTCAATAATTACGAGATTACACTGGTTTTATCACCCCTTCATACACACATCCCCAATTCGACGGGTTTTCTTCCGAAACACTCGCGAGAAATAATACATAAACACTTTATGGCCCCTCACAACACTCGAAGGAGTTATTTACAACGAGATAATTTCCCACGATAAGAAATACTGCTTCCATTCGCTATGAAGCTTCCTCACAGTAGAGGTTCATTGAATGCGAATTCAACGCTCTTTGAAGATTAAAATAATTTCAGACGCCTGTATACGTGAAAACATTTCCAAATGCAGACATAAGAAGCTCAAGGGATGGTATTCATGAGCCCCGGGCGTCCTGGAATATTTATCAACACACTTTTAACCGCTATTCATCATTCATGTTTGCCTACTTGTCATCGCCGACAGGATTGATATTTCACACCGTTCGTTGAACAAGACTGGAGTCGTTGGCGTAAATCCAACGGGATAAGAGATCAAACTTCTCCTTAACCAATCACTTTTTATGAATAAACTCTAAATATAAAGATTTTAATTCTCCTCTTGTTCAAGAACAAAGGGAGAAAATAAAACGCAGGCACAGTAGCCTGAAATGGCTCCAAGAATCACCGCATTAGACACGATCAGCATGATCTCCAGCAATGCCAGCTGGCTTTTACGATTTCCCAAGGAGCCAACACATCCAGCGATCATTTTAAAATCGAACCATTGAATCCACAATGTCAAATGCCTTGGAATAATCAACTAATTGAGCCATCTCCACCTCCCAATTTTTCGTCGTTCGCTGTAGAAAACAGATGTTGCCGCACGGATAAAAAGCCCCAGCGCTGGTGGAAAGAAATGATTCAATGTTTTTTTTTTTAAAAACACCCGCAACGCAAGTAGACTCCAGAGTTCTCCGATTTCTCGGTGTCACAATGGAAGTGAGGGAATAAAAGAGAACGTCTTTATCAGGCTTTCCAGCCCCCCCTCCCCCCCACATGACGATGGGAAACAGAAGTCCCAGAGTGTTGGATAAAAGGGATGAAAAAACACCGGTAAAAGCTCGGAAGGGATCTCTTGTCAAAATGTACGCAGCAGATACTGGGGCATATTCCGCAACGTATCGAATATTTTTTCGCTGCGAGTTTTTTTTAGCCTTTACATTCCCACGTGAATTCGGTTAGCCCTTTATGACCCGTGGGGTCTGCAGTAAAATAAAGAAAATATGGAAATTGACGGGTATTACATGATATTCCGGAGATGATACGGCTGTAAAGTCTGCAAACATATCCCCGAAAGCCCGCAAATTTATTATAGATCCGGACACGCAAATAGGATAAAATATACCGGGTGTTGGAAGGTTATGTAAATCTCGACAATCCACGTCATCAATTTAATCCGTTATAATCTCTGCCATCCTACTTTAGGCAAATGATCAATCGAATGATTTAGTGGGTTCCAGCAATAATGGAAGTGGATGCGGTTATATTTTTTTATTTCGACGTGTCTTTATTTGAATATCGCCGTTTAGAGATTCATGAAGGTTTCTTCTTGTGAATCAGACTGAAATATTGATTCAATGGAGAAGGATTTAATTGAGAGTTAAAATGAAATGAGGTTGAAGCATGATACTTCTGATAATTCCTATATAATTTGATTCAATCATCATCAAGAATTCCCGTTCGTACGAAGAATCAATCGTATGACCCCAGGATAAATCCATTCAAAGCCCCATCCCCCGTTAGCTGCTTAAACTGGTGAAACTCCAATCGTTTCTGGTCGATTGGCGTCCAACACCGATATCCACTTTCACGACAATGAATGAGATATCCTCTGAGTTTTCGGGTGCCCCTGAGAGAGAGGCATCGAGGCACACAGAGAATACTCAAATGCCCGAGTCGATATCGAGTGATGTACACCGGTTTACTGCATCGTGATTAAACATCTCCAACTCCTCACGCTACTTTTACCCTGGAATCGTCCTATCGCACCCACCCCTGTTCGATCAACGAGAATCCCCTCGTCAGGCAACTTCTTGCTGAATGAATTACATCTCGGTATTCACTGGGAATTAGTTCATGACTTATTAAGTAGTTTCAACTACCAGACTCAACCCTTAAAGATTATGAATTATTCAACGATTCCGGTTGCCGAATAGATAACATTCAACTTTCAACTTTCATAAGTATCTATTTACTCGGCTAGAGAAGTGATAACTTTCCTACTAGGAGAGGTATCAAGTTGTAGAGAAAAAAAATACCGCGCATTCAGTGTGGCCGATACACTGATTGAATTCAGTAACGAGTATTTGTGTTATCTCATTTCTGTTATCGTGGGTCAATGAAAAAATTCGATTACAGAAGAAATTCCTTTTTCTCCCCAAAAAATCGTAGACAAGCCCCAGATATATGAGTCTAACAAAATAATTATTGTCATATTTTTCTTGTGTCTGAAGATTTGATTTTTGTCTACGAGGCAAGTCTAGGTGAAATCAACCATCGGTTACCAAAAAAATCGTTTTAGAGAAAAGTCACATTTTTCCCCAAAAAATTGTAGATTCAACCCCCAACGCATTTATACAGAATATATAATGTCAGTACCGCCAATCAATTCACAAATGATGAAGATCGACTTAATGAATACCTAAATAAATAAATTCTTCTTTCCTTGGTTTCAGGTGTAAACAGCCAGGGCGATACCGTGAGGATTTGCCGGCAACCGCCGTAATAATCTGCTTCCATAATGAGGCCTGGTCAGTTCTCCTGCGAACAGTTCACTCAGTTCTGGACCGTTCCCCAGAGCACCTCATCCAGGAAATCATCCTGGTCGATGACTATTCGGACATGCGTGAGTACTCAACCCTCCCCCACATTTCTCATCCTCCAATTTTCACAATGCATTGTACGTCACGCAGTTAAATTTAATATGTCGTAACCGAATGCACGGAGAAAACGTGGGTGACGTAATTGCACTCAGCTTTTATTATCCGAGGGGTGGGGTGCTAGTGGAAAAGAGGAGAGAAAAAGAAAATAGGGTTATAACGTGCTGAACAATAAAGTAAAGGATATGCGAGAGGATTAAACAGGGTGAATGTGGCTGCCCCGGAGATGGCTTTGAACGAGAGAGAGAGAGAGAGAGGGCTCTGTACATGACTTGGATACTGTGATGCTTGTGGCGCTTCCTTTCTCCTCACCAGCAACCCCAACTTGCTCGGGGAGATAAGAGCCAACTAGCCGGAAGGTGTTATCCATAAACATACTTAGACTGTACTAAATGGCGGGTGAGCTTTCGGCTTTTCAGAATGACCCACGTGACTTGGTACCATTATCAGCAAGTTGGCATCTCACCGTACGTCGCCTCACGCCATTCTGGTTCATCGAACCGTCGCTTCAGTCTTTTGTCTTCAACAAATTTTCCTAATACTTCGTCAACTGCAACACCTATTACAGCACCTGAAAGCTCACTTATTTCAGTCAAATTGAGTTTACATCATTCAAATTTGCATCGAAATCAATATAAGGCTCATCTCTTTGGTCGTAATTATGAGTTTAGCTTTTGTTGAAGGGTGTATTTGCCCGGGTGGAAGGTAGGCGGTCGTGGTGGTAGCTGAAGGAAGACAACTTTGGCCAAAACAAGTTCATCAATGCGCGCTGCACAATTAGTGATTAATCAAGTTTGGGGCTGGATCTGTTAACAAAGATACTGGCCCCAATTGATCCGGTTAAATCTACCTCTACGGCATGTTGGTAATCCTCGGGACACTGGGGGGCTTAGGATTAGTCGGGGGTTTAGTGGAGAGGTGCCTCATAAAGCCATTTGTTGAAATAAATCACTAGCCAGCAGGCTAATTGCAGAGCTCCAATCGTTACTTCCAAGTTTCTCTTGTGTTAATCCTAACCTCGGGATGCTCCAGGGTGTTCATTACGATGACTTTATAGCCGTCATTTCAGACATGTTTTTGAATCATCAAATTTGTTAATTGCATTGCTGCTGGGTTTTTTTATTTCGCAGAGACCGCAAGGAAATCCTTCATCAGTCTAATTGCGTTTTGTAAGACGTCGTATTTTGCAGCATTCACGCCTTTTAAATAAATTGTGGGAGTTTATTTCCCGTTTTTTTATTTCCACTTAGTTACAATTTTTCTTTTTAGTCCGAAGAATTATAGTATTATTCAAAAGTAGACAGAAAAATGCCAAAATAATTTATGTTTTTTCGAATTATTAATTGAAACAACAAGTATTTAGGCAATATCTCTCTTTCTTTGAATATTGCTAATGGCTTTGAAAAAACAGTGAATTCTAGAAGAAAATATGAAATAACTTGCTTTATCGGAAATTTAATTTATTATTGTAAATTTAATTTATATCGGTAAAAAGTCTAATCGGCTGTATATGGATAATAAGTAAATAATTGAAATAATTTGGAGGAATTTAATCGACTTCGTGATGTTTTTTTAGCGCACCTGAAGAGACAGTTATTGGACTACATGATGAACTATCCGAAAGTGAAGATAGTGAGAGCAGCGAAACGAGAGGGTTTGATTCGTGCTAGACTATTGGGTGCAGCAGCTGCAACAGCGCCAGTGCTAACTTACTTGGACAGTCATTGTGAATGCACAGAGGGTTGGCTGGAGCCTCTGCTCGACAGAATAGCCCGGGATTCAACAACAGTTGTTTGCCCAGTCATCGACGTCATCGACGACACCAGCCTCGAGTATCACTGGAGAGATTCAGGTGGTGTCAATGTTGGAGGATTTGATTGGAATCTTCAGGTAAACGGTTAACAATTCCCATTCCAATTCGACAAAAAATTTGATTGCATTGCAATTCTACTAAATTGCAAAAGGTATTGCGATTAAAATTTCAGAATTAAGTGGAAAAATAAAATTGAATTATACATTTCTCTTGTACTTCTTCCTGAAAACGAAATCTGATAAATATATTCCTGAGTTTGGAAGACAGTTACATTGAATGTAATTTGATTACTAATACTCATATTAGATGGGATAATCTTTCCTGATCGACCCATTGAAATTCCGGATCTAACAGGATTTCCAATGAAACCTGAAAGTCAATGATAATTCATGCCCAGAACATTCCATAAATTAAATTCCATTCATTTATTGTTTTAGTAATTAAATTTCCTCGAGAAAACCCTAACATTTTAAATTTCATTGCAAATGCCTTTTTGAGGCATAAGAATTTCTCAATTTACATGAATTTCAATGAATTCTCATGTTTTTTCATGAGATTTCATTTTTTTTCCTAACGGTGTATTTAATTTAGCGCTGGGACTGCTTGATAAAATTTATCCCACACTTTGCTGAATAATTAGATCTCGATTCTTACAATTACGAGGGGGAGGGGGGAGGGAGGGAACAAGAAAGTTGATAATAAATTCCGATAAAAAAGGTGAGTAGTGAATAATAAATGCACCTTACGTCCATCAGTTTAACTGGCACGCAGTACCAGACCGTGAAAGAAAACGGCACAAAAATCCAGCTGAACCTGTGTGGTCACCGACAATGGCCGGTGGTTTATTCTCAATTGATCGAGAGTTCTTCGAACGTCTGGGAACTTATGACAGTGGTTTTGACATTTGGGGTGGCGAGAATCTCGAATTGTCATTCAAAACGTGGATGTGTGGTGGTATGAAAATCAATTTAATTTTTTCTTGTCTGTTTATTTGGAAATCCATCGATATATCGATTTCGGACGTTTTTTTATCTCGCATCAATTTTTTATCAGGAGAGAAGAATTGCATTCTATTGATTGAAGAATCTGTATATCAATTTCCGATGAAATACCAAAAGTCCTTTCTTCTCTCAGCTTTTATATTTTTTTTCACAAATAACAACCTATTCGTTACTTTGTATTAATAATTTTGTCATGTCCTAACTGCTGAATGAACTCCAGTGGAATTTTTCGAGAACTCATGAGATCTCTATAAATAAAAACAGCTTTAAGATGATTTTAATAAAACTGCCGAGATAAATTCGTTCCTCATATATTCATAAAAAAGCAAAACCATAATTGAATTGAGAGAAAAAGGAGAAGCCCAGAAATCAAATCAGAGACTTTGAAATCGAATGAATGAATGAACAGAATTTATGCAAAGAAGTTTGAAATATTGGAAGAATATAATGATTGCATTCTTTCAAAGGCTTTCAGTGGAACAGAAAGCAGAAACCAGTAATATCTTCTTTTCATTCAGTAATTTGCCTGAAACCCACGATCAATTGATCAATAACTCACAAGAGTTTTCTCGCTGAAGAAATGAGAGTTGTGATATCACGTCGATGTTTACCCAAAATTCTCCAAGATAACGTAGAATTTAATCTACGTTTTGTCAGCCGTGACGCATGTTGGAGAGCCGTCAAGTTTAATACCGTTTCAATGTTGAAAGGTACTCTGGAGATAGTTCCCTGCTCACACGTGGGTCACATCTTTAGAAAACGCTCACCCTACAAGTGGCGAAGCGGCGTAAACGTGCTCAAGAGGAATAGCATAAGGCTGAGCGAGGTGTGGCTGGACGAGTACGCCAAGTACTACTACCAGCGAATAGGTCACGACAAGGTGAGTATACACTTTATCCACCACTGTCGTCTCTCAGTGCTCCTTTCATCCCAACCACTTCATACATCCCCTATTCACTGACAGTCCTCTCTTTCTTCTTCTACTTTACACTCCTGAACGTCTCAATTGCCACCAGACCTTCAACACTTCCAAAATTCATCCCTTTTTCTCCTAAACCAAATCGCGGTATCAGTCAAATCCAGAATTTACTATTTTTCGTGTCAGAATGACGAGTTCTACGCCGAGATCTTTCTTTATTAGATACTTTCCCTCACTTTTTTCATTCTAATCCAAAAATTCTGTCCCTCAATTCAAAAATTCTCTGCTTTTCCTCTCAATACCACCCATTCTGCCCTCAGAACCCAATATGTCATATTTAAATCACAATTTAAGGAATCATCATTAAACGACATTCCAATGTCATTTTAAATATTTATTTCATAACGATCATGATGATTACAGTAATGTTTACTTTAAAATGGAAGTAACAAATCTAGTCTCAATAACTTACAGGAGTATCAAACATCGTAACCATATTGAAATTGTTTTTGCTTCCGAATTGAAGCTTTGTAATCGACCAAATTTAAGTTTCCCATTTTTTGTCATATATCAACTCAGTATAACTCAAGGAGTTCAAAAATACAGTTTTTAGACCGTGTCTAAATACATTCATATATGTGTGTGTGTATGTGGTATTTTTTTCATTCATTTTCTTTGATAGCTCACCTTCATCTCTACCCACTTCAAACTTGGTTTTTCTCAATGTAGATCTCATTGAGTCACACCTATCACCGCCAACAAAAATTGATTTAATCCATCGATTTTTTAAATTTTCAATTTTTCCGGAAAATCGGGTTTTTCACGATAACTGAAAAAAATCATCCGAATCAATTAAATGATGACTAAAAAAATTTTTTAACACAAATTTGATTCCAAATTTTAGTGTATTTTTGGCTAATAAGATAAAAATTAAAGAAAAGATGACGTTCGATGGATATTCCATCCGGGCCTTAACTTGTATTTTGGGTTATAAAGGTACACTGTTAGTGAATCATTCAATTTAATTAAATAAAAATGGACGATTATTTACAAAAGAGAAAGATAATACGGCGAATAAACATTCGGAAGCATACTTCTAATATATTAGCAAAGATAACTATATGATATGCGATATAAGAGTAATTCCCCACTTGTTTTTATCATCAGGATGTTTTTCTGATTGAGTGTAAAATCCGAAAGGATTAACTCTAATAATAATACAATATTATTGCTCAAATCCGTGCAGTGATTTAATTTAACTCAGAACATCATTGCGAAATTAATGGGCAAAACAAAAGGGCTTGGAAAAAAAAAGCAATATCCCTCTTGTTTTCTTCCAGGGGAATTACGGTGATGTGTCGGAGCGGAAGGCGTTGAGGAAAAAACTCGGATGCAAATCCTTCAAATGGTACCTCGACAATGTTTATCCGGAGCTCTTTATTCCAGGAGAGGCAGTGGCTTCTGGCGAGGTAAGGACCTTCATTTTTCCCGTTTTTTTTCTCCACTGTTTCAGGGAAAAATGGCTGAGGGGACCAGGAAAATTACGACGAAATGAGCCGACAAAATGCCAAGTTAATATCGTACCTGCAAGCTTTGATTCATCAGTGTCGAATTACTCGAGCGCAGAGGCTTTCCTGTTGTTCATGGGGAGTGAAAGGGGTGAGGGAGTGCAAAAGGGGGGATGAAATGGGGGAGACAAAGTGCCGGGGGCTCGAAACGACAATGGGATGCATAAAGGATTCATGCGAGAGGGGAGAGGACTTCATTTGCTCTTCGTGATAATTGATAATTTTAACGTTTCATTGCACTTCTGTAGGGGTGTGTTTTCTTTTAATTAGGCATATTTATTCGGGGTCGTAAATATTGATTAGTTAGTCGCACCAGTCAATGGGAATTTTGGAGAGTAATTAATTGAGGCATTTTACTGTTCTCCAAGTTTTCGTCGGGGGGTTTTCAGAGGAATTGATTGGCGGAAAATACGCGATTGGGGTGGGAAATGTTCGGTTTGAAGGGGGGAGAGGGTAATTCAGGGCTGAGGGAAATGGGACTTGATGGGAGAGAAAATTCTGGATTGTTGAGATTTTCTGAATTTGATGAAAAACGGAGAATTATTAAGTGAAAAAAGAGAAAAAATTGGAGATTGTGGAGATAATTTCTGGAAAATATAACAATGTTTTTGGTTTTTGATAAAGAATAGAATCCATTAAGCTAGTTTTGCCTTTTTTTACAATTGAGCATTCCCAACGAGTCCGTAAAAGCTCTCAGATCTATTTGAAAATTCCTGAAAAATTTTGCCGTTTCAGTATTCCTCGAGAATATTCAACTGTGGGATTGAAATATTTAGTTCGGATGAAGCGGAAGTAGTGTAATTTGGGGCACGTGAGAAATGAAATGGGAAAGGAAGAGAAAATTCAGGACTTGGTTGAACTTGTGTTTTTCCTGTAGCTCCGGAACTCGCCACTCTCTGGTAATTCTCTCCTACCGGTGCCTTGTTTTTTCATTTTTGAATGACTTTTTGCTCGTGTTTGTGCCCTCGTGGTACGGTAAATCAGAAGGCTCGCCCCTGGGAATTTATAGTTAGCAAGAGTGCAGAAGGTCCGGATGCGTGGGTGAGGTGACGTGAATTATTCTGGGGTGCGTCACGATCGCTGAGGAATTTTCGTTGTTTTTAAAATCCAGCATTCATTATCGGACTGCTCTCCACGGTTGAAAAATTACAGTGAAAATTCCAAACGAGAAATATCTCCAATTGAAATCGAACTCGAACAGGAATTGACACTGAAATTTCAAAAAATCTGTCATAATGTGAAGCTCGAAGTCCCAAAAATTCTAGATTCAATGAATTTAAATCAGCTTAAATCATCAATACAAATTGGCCGCTCAATATTCATCGACTGATGGACCTCCGGTACGTTTCAATCCCCCGAATCCGATGAAAATATGATTTTCATATCACATTACATTCGCTGGGCTCCACATAACGATATTTTCGAACCCCCTGTCCAAAATCATGGTGATTGCAACGAGAATTAATTGATTGCCGGGGGATACCACAGAGAAAATTCGTACAGAGACTAATCAAAGTACCTTTTACGAATTCTCTCATCAGCCCAATATGGGATGCACATTGAAGTGCCCTCACCCCTCGTTAATAATCACCAACCTGCAGCTGAAAGCCTCTGCGTATTAATTTAATCCTCCATAATTTCCTTTTCCATCATTCCCTCATTTTTCCTCTCCAGCTAATTCAGCCCCATTTTTAGGGGTGGGAAACTTTATCGTCCCTTGAATCCTCCGTACCATGAATCACGTTTTTATATTCACAGAGAAACCAGACAAGGGGCTACCGATATCGAGTCGACGAAAAGAGAGTAGTCCCCTGGAGTTGATCCTCAAAAGTGCTGCGTGGACTGAAAAAATAAAAAAAAAAATATATTCAACCCTCACTTTTTCCAATAGCGAGAATAATATCGAGACTTTTGCTGACCACACTTTTATAACGAATTGTGTGGGTCGAAGACTTGTTACCAGGCCCTATCAATTTGTCACACGTTCGTTAGATAAAATAAAAATGTGGTGGTGCATTTTTCTGCTCGGTGAAAAATGAAAAATGTCGAATTTGATGTAACGTGGGGCAACACTTCCCTCTGACAGCCTTTCATTTTTCACTGATGATTTTTTTACAGGGGAGTATCCAGAGTCAACTCAATCACAATTGGTTATTTATTGTTAATTCAGTATATATGTTGAAAGAACGAACTAACAGCTTTATATGAACACTAACGATAATGACAGGTACGTAACCTCGGAGAGGGCGGAAACACCTGTCTGGATTCGCCTGCTCGCAAGGCTGACTTGCATAAGCCAGCTGGACTCTACCCCTGCCATCGACAGGGCGGCAATCAGGTACAATATGAGTCTAAAGGCTTCTTCAACAATTTCTAGGATGCACATTACATCGGTCTTGCTATTCATTTGTGTTTTTCCTGTGTTTGTTTCGTTGTCCCGTCAAAGCAATTAAGGAAATTCCCATTCTGATGTTAAAATTCATTTGTAAATGCAAAATCCTCAATTTTTTCCTTCGATTTTCAGGCACCATTGCCATTAAGTAATTAAGAATATGAATAACTGTGCAACTGGATGGATTTTCCTCAACGGCTTCGATTCACGTTTTAAATAATATTTTGCTCGTTATCTAACTTTATTTTGACTAACACTCACTGACCCCTGTGCGTAAGACCCACAATTTCTTATCAAAAGCTTCCGTCTGTACCTGTATGACACGATAGGAGACCTGTTTCCCCATCCAGACAATTTGTTTAGGATAGAAATAAAATAGTAAAAGCCTGTCGTTGCGATCTAGCTAAATTTCTCTCGAAATTGTCAATGCAGATACGACAGCTTGTTAAAGACGTGTGCATTGACTCGTCTGGAAAACCTGAAGATCTGCATCAGCCCGTGGGTCTGTGGCCTTGTCACCGCCAGGGCGGCAATCAGGTACCCCACGATAAAACTGCACGAGTCGTTCGGGTATTCGATTAATCCTGGGGCATCCGGTGCCTTCTAACTATTCCTATACTTTATTTTTTTTTCTGGTTTATTCATATTGGGAATCGGCGGGTTTAACCACTTTTGCTTCAAGCTCCTGCAATCGAGTTTATCGAATGTTAAAATTTTTAGCTCAATATTCTGTTTCTATTTCAAGACTTTTTCACTCAAATTGAAGTTATTTGACAAGAGATTTCACGTTTTCATAATTTTCTATTTTTTTTCAAGATAAATGTATTGTTTTCTCTCGGTGTTATGATTTGAGGAAAATAATGGCAAATTTTTAAGGGGAAAATAAGGATTTGATGCAGACGTTAGTTGTCTGAATTCGTCTGGTATTGGATTTGCTCTCGTTTAAAAAATACAGCACGAACTTTCGATATTTATAGGATATATTCACTGACCCGTAAATCGTTGGTGTACTTTGGATTAAAAATTAAAATATTCCAATTTATTCGTTGCGGCGTGCAAGCGGATGAAATCCTTCGCCCATATGGTTAGTGACCGTGATTGTACTCGTTGTTTCTACCCGTTAAATATTAAATTATACGAGTTCAATTTTTCCGGCTATTCAAAAATAACTAGGCAATTTACAGTAAATATGAGAATTAGCTGAAAATCATTCAATTTTTTGTTGCAAATAATTGAGAAATAAAAGAATTGTCCGAATGTTTCATTGAATAAATAAACTGATGAACAAAAAGGTTCAAATTCATGCAATAAATCAGATTTTGCTAATCGAAAAAGCGATAATCTCCGAAACTTAATTAAATTGAATTACGAGAACAATTACATAAAGCGATTTTTTTTATTAAGAAAGCGTCGGCTTCCGGAATAATTTTTACAGCTGCTAGTAACAAAGTCCTCTATTGGAAAATTTGTAAACACATAAATTGAGAAGAATTGACCTTCTTAATACTTTTTTTAACGAAAAATATTTAGACGTGTTCATTTGGTAGTCATGTGACATCATATTTTTATCGTCATAATATAAGGAGTCTGACATTATTACGGCTATTTAGATGGAACATAACAGTCACATAAAAAAAGTCATAAAATTGAGAAGCTGTCGTCAAACTTGGAATAATGAGATATTTTTCTGCTACTACGCTAGATAGCTGTAGTAAAGTAATGACTAATTATCATTCCAAAATATGTCATGAATTAGAGAAATGATCGTAATGTATTTAATTGGAAGATGACAATCACAAGTAAAATTCAACATTTCTAAAAATTCATATTCTCTCGATAACGATTAGTTTGTTGAAAGAACAGTATTTGACGTTTTTTCATACGATGAACAGTTTTCAGATCAATCAATATTCAATAAAACTAAAAAATTCACTTTATCACTTGCTACGGATTCTGTTAAATCTCATCACGAGATGAACTCGTAACTCGGTTGAATAATTTTCCTCCTTGACGTCTCACGAACGTCTGAATGGTTTAATGCTGATCCTCCAATTTCCGATCCCTACAGCTTACAATCAACAGTTAATCTCACTCTATTTAGCTGCAATCAGGAGGCTCTCTAATCAGACTGGAGACCTCATCGATTTTACAGGGGGATGTTGTCGTGTAACATTGAACATGGTCGCCCTAGTATTTCCACTTATCTCACCGGAGCTGTTTATTTTTCATCGTGATGCATCCTCGAATTAATTGCCCACTGTAACGAACGTGATGACCCCATGCTGGGAATTATACGTAATGAGGCTTGTTCCACTGTGTAACTGTGATTTTCGAGGTTTTACCATTTAGCACCGAGAAATGACTTTTTTCCGCCCCATTTAAAGCCCCATTTCACCCAAGGTTTACGCACATCCTCTCATTAATTCTTTATTCAAAAAATTGAAGTTGTAAATTGAATTAGTTTTTAAACGCCAGAAAAAATATTGAAAACAAAAACTCCAAGGAATTTTTCTACAATTATTATTACTTTATTATTATTACTTTTATTATTATTTTAATTACTGACGATCTAAACTTAATTCTTGGTTTAGAAACAGGAGATTATGTAATTATCCAAGAGATGACCATAAAAATGGGGATAGGCAGGATTTTCCGTGAAAAATTTACAGCCAATCTGCCCTGAAACCGATTTGGTCCAAATCGTAACAAATTTCCCAATGAGATTTCGTGGAAAATCGTAAAAATTTGGTACCCAACGAGTATCATATCACCTGGATTTCCGGCAAAATTCACCGTAAAATCCCGGATGCTAAATATATTATTGCAACGCACTAATTATTCCATTTATCGGCCTGCAATTTAGTATACGAATGCACCACTTTCCGGCAATTATCGGCCCAACGATTCACCGCACAATTTTCCATTTATCTATGTTTCCCGTCACATTCTATATTTATCCTGAGTAACTCACTGAATTTCCAGCTCTGGAATTTTCCGATTCATTGAAAAAAAAAAAAAAAAAACAAGCAGAAGTTATTTGGTATTTCGCCCCACAATTATTAACTCATTTGCATCGGCCATCCATCGATATTTTCCTCCATGAAAAAATGAGTATAAATACATTTAATTTTGCACTCTTTACCGAACGCACAAGTCCATTAATTTTCTCCTCAATTCTTCAGAATACTCATGACCACAGTATTTTCCCAGTGAAAGAAAACCAACAGAAAGTAAAAACCAATTAAAATTCATGCTCCGAGGTGTTCAGAATAATTACCATCAGCATTTTGCATGCATTAATTCCCATTCTTGCCAGTATTTTCACTAAAAATCATGAATGAGGACTCAATCAAGATCGACCAATCACCAAAATATCGAGTATTAATCAAACAAAATACGCAATTAAATTGAGAAACCAATCACTCTGACAGTAGATGTTTTTCGCATTGATGAATCCTCATATTTTGTTTTACCACTAACCCTGAGGCATTTAAACCGTTCCAATTGATTAGGAATATACGACCACGCAAAAAAAAAATAACAGCCTTCATTTCCCAGCTGACTACCAACTCTGACATTTTTCCTCAACCCGCAAATACGAAAAAAACTTTTTCCTTTGACTGAAGCTTTTTTGCCTGCGACTGTAAACGAGTTCCATCAATTTTTCTCTCCCCCGCGCTTTTTGCTTGCTCTATCCAATATGACCTTCCACATTTTCGTGGGTCTACTTCATCTCTATCTCCCTCGTGCGATATTAAAGTGCAAATTAACTACTTTTGTCATCTGTGATTGCGTTGTCATATTGTTGCATGGATTTTTTCTGATATAAATGTATAAATCATGAAAATCTGACTAAAAATGTTGAACACATTGTTTCTACCCTGGCAACTAATTAAATGTCTGGGAGTTATAGTTAATTGAAACAGACTACCGTTTTTTTTCTTGGCAATGCCATCATTTTTCATTAATTATTTGAATTCGATAAAGTGTGTCCAACATTGACTATAGGATTTTCCTATTCGCATCGTTCTAAATTTCTCTCTGCATTTTCGATGGAATATCCATGAATTTTCCATAGAACATTGAATATTCATATCAATTTCTCGAGAAAATCCAGAATTTCTCTTTAATTTCATGATAAAATCTCTATTTTATAAAACAATAGAGTATTCACATCTTCAACGAACGAAATTTCCCATTGTGCGCTTGAATTGGCTTTTCTGAAGAAAAATTCGAATAAACTTTCTCTTAATAAAAGAAAACATATTCTCTCTATACTTCAAAAATCAAGAGGATGTGTCTGAAATTTTAATTCCTGGATTGTCTATCTAAAATTTGCTGAAGAAACATTGAAATTCGTCTGCCTGCAATAATAATTATAATTAATCATTCAACATTCGATGATTCTGGCAGGCAGTTGCCAATAATCACCAGGGAATTGAGTTCAATTCGGCTTTGAACCCATTACCCTCCAACCCCCGTCTAATCTCCGTAATTAAAGGGACAGATGTAACATATTGGTTTTCAGTTGCTCATTAGTCGCCTGGAGCACTGGAATCACATCAAAGATCCTTCCCCTCCACCAGTTAATCCAATCAGTCTCGCATGCATTATCCCACCAGTGGAATTCCTGAAAAATCATAAATATTAACAATATCCCTGTAATTGAAACCACACGCGATAGTTTTAAATAATTCTCGGAGTCCCTATACTGCCAGAATCATCGCCTGAAACAAGCATTTGGTATTTAAATGAAATTAAACTGATTGCAAAATTTGTCTCCCCCTCTCTCTTTTTGAATAATTTAGTACTGGATGCTGAGCAAAACTGGGGAAATACGGAGAGACGAGTCGTGCCTGGATTATAGTGGAACGGACGTCATCCTTTATCCATGCCATGGCAGTAAGGGGAATCAGCAATGGATTTATAATCCACAGGTAATATCATGCGTAAATTTAATAATTCATTCAATTACCGCGGGCTCGATGAAATATCCCCATATGCTGGTAATATATTAATGTATCGGCTGGTGTGTATAACCCATTCTACTTTGCATCCTTCCAATAATGATAATTCATTTTGCTCTCCTTTTTTTTATTCTCCCGTAAATTATAATAAATATCGATGCAATTTTCATGAGGGATAAAATTATTAAACACCACAGCTGAAGTGTATTTTGGTTCGACCATTTTTTTTATTAATACATCAAATACGTTAATAAATTCATAAAACTCAATAAACGTATAACAGAATCTGTTTTTCACCTTAATAATAACATTTTATTCTGTTCACTCTTTAATTTTTTTACCCAGCTAGAATGAAACTGAATATTCATGCAATTCGCCTGAGGCTTTGGGAATAATGAAATGCTCCAATTTAATAAATCTGTTGTTGGCTTTTTTAGAATAATTTTCACGTTGAAGCTATTGACGAGTTTTCACTCGAATATTCATGATTAATTCAAAATTTTCAGTAACTATTTTCCGGGAATTCGTTGAATTTTCCATTTATGGAAGCATTGAAACCAGAAAACCAAACGGTTAAATCTGGCTAATTTTCTTAATTGATCATTAGTAATGCTTCGTTGAAATTGAATTAATAGTCTTCTATGCTACCCACAAAGCTAGAATATTAATAGTCCTTTAATTTTCCAGTCAAAGCAAATAAGACATGGCAGCAGTGATAAATGTCTATCAATAACTGAGAGTAAACAACGTTTGCTGATGGAGGAGTGTTCGCCATCATCGCACCGTCAAAAATGGTCGTTCGAGAATTACGACCCGGCGAAGCTGTGATACCAGTCCCATTGGCATCAATCCACGTACAACCGTCGTCCTTACGACCAAAAATCAAGGATCACCTACCACCGCTATGTTGGAAGAATCCACGTCGACTAGATCCAGCTGAATCCCCCAGAACCAAGTGATAAACTTTAGAACAACCCCCAAGTATTATCTCGACCTGTGAGCAATCAAATTGTTCGACGACCAAGCAAAAACACCTTGCCAAGAGATTTTCCCCAGCGCAGATTCAAGTACTCCATCAATCCCAAGACTGTGCAACTAGATCTGCCCATGAAAAATAAATAAAAATAAAAAATCAGCAGCAAAGTGATAAAGTGTGATACGCCCAAATTATAATCTTTAACGATCGCTTTGACTCGAAAACTATCGATTCATGAGGAAAGTGGTAGAGGACTTTTTTGTAGCTTATTAAATTTCCAATAAAAAGTGCCTTCTACCACTTTTTCCTCAAGTTCATCATTTTGGAGATAAATCGGTGTTTTTGTGACTGAATGGTTAAATAGGATCAGTGCTTTTTAGTCCAGTTTTTTTTAGCTAATATTGTTACAATATCGGAATCGAAGGAAGATAGCGCTATTTTTGCAAAGACATTTTTTATAGAAAAAGATGAGAGCTACAAAAAAGGTATCAATAAAAATATCTCTATTTTCCTTTAATTCCGAGTTATTTGCTGAAAATTGGCTCGAAAAACGGCATTTAGACTACTTCGTGACACGCTAAAAAAATTCACGGAAAAATCCGAATTATCCAGATTTACCACATTGCTGTTGAAATCAATGAAGCATTCCAATTATTCATGGGCCAACCCTGACTCGACTTTCTCCGAAAGTTCAGAATATTCATATCCAATGCTCACACGAGTAACGCACATATTAAATCCAAACAAATATAAACTCAAATAAATTGTAAATATTCCAACCGATGAATTATCGGCGCGACAGAGCCCTATATTAGCTACTAAAGTCTTCTCGAGTTGATAGTCTGAAAGGTTTAAGACCCAATGAATGAGCAAATGGACCGTCGACTGCATTAACTGTAAATACCCACAAAAAGAAAGGAAAAAAACTCCACTCGAATTATTCCTATTTCTTCCCAGATCCTAGAGTTAAGCTTTTATCACTAGAAATGCTATAGCTGTACGAGAAAAATTGGTCTCTGGCACTCGACGTTTTGTTTATTCCATTCATTATCGAAAAATCTTTCTCATTATCTCATTTTTTAATTAATAAATCATGAAAAAGAGAGCATTCCAAAAATAATGAATTTCCACGTCAAAGTTTTTGCGTTAATTAACGAAAGTTTTTCTTTTCGTTTTTAGAGGTCTACTGTAATTATAAATGTTAACGAAATTTCGGTGGACTCCGACTATCCTGTACATTCGTGTAACATAATTAATGCCAGTTTGTAGCAATAAGGATAATTTAGGATCAAAATTATCGGTAGGTTAAATGAAAATTCTCATTGAAAATTAAATGATTGATTGCATCGGATGAGTTAGAACATCATTAAAACGTTTTACGAATTTACGAATTAACTCTTCAAGTGTGCCAATAGATTTAAATTCGATGCAGTCGGTGTTCAGAGCATTTCAATTGTTACGTAAAACGAGTGATGGATAATTATCGTGGGGCGTGTGCTTAATTAGACTTTACTTCCCAGGAATGCTAATATCTTTCTTTATGAGTTGTGTATATCGTACTTGGTACGTGTAAGAACGATGTGTGATTTAATGATAATGAGAATTAACTGAGAAATATCGTCTTCTTGAGGATTATGAATTATTGAATGGCTTGAAGGTACTTTTAGATGGAGGACTATTGAAACAACTGTATCTTCTTTCCAACGTTTTCTCCACTTTTTTTTTCATTTTGTTTACGTGGGCAACCAGAGAAAATAACAAATACTGAAAATACTTGAAGAACTTTTGATTTCTGCAGTAAATTCATCTAATTTATTTAACCTGAGATTATAAAATAAGAGAAAATAGATAACGTTTGAGACATGATACAAGTCCTCAAGTAGAATATAAAATTGTCCTCGAACAAGGAAGACATTTCGATGAATTAAACATATTCAGTGTATATAATGATGAATACATATATTGTATGGCATTTTCTACATTTGTTAAGACTAAACTAAGAAAGATAAAAGTGGATAATTGAGAGTGGGAATTGTTGCATTCAACGATCAGCATTGAATTAATTAATTAAAATATCAAATTGTGCCTTATTCCGTAGGTATGTGAATGATACAATTAATATCATAATTATGAAAATGGAAGAACCTCTATATCGTGCAAGCATTTATGTTGAATAAATCGATGTTGTTTTATGTTACAAAATGTCGTACGAGTTTAGTTACTCCGTCGAGTCTATAATTTTCTTATGACCCCATCGGTTGAGTCTCGAAAAATTTTTAGTGCTTAAATTTTCAGTGGATTTATAGTCAAGGGAGCAGGAAAACGGTTAGGGACATTTGTGGACATTTCCTTCATTTAATGCATATGCTTGTTTGAATTGTCCACTTGTTGTGGGACTTGGAAAGTTTGAGGGGAATGAGGACTTATCAAATTGTCGGATTGCGATGCGCAGACGTGAATGTTTCGATTGTCGCGAGGGGTGACTCGATGTCGAAGATATTCCACTTCGCCGAGGCTCATTTCGATCCTTTGTGCTGCTTTTTTGCGGAGTATTCTTTTAATGAGTGAAATTCACGTTTTTTTTTATCACAAGGGAATAAATTTCCGAGGAATGAGGGTAATTAGGGGATGGCCAGGGGTACAGAGAATTCAATATCACGTCTTTCGTGAATTAATGAATTTCCTCGCTTTGATGTTGAAGTGTTGGAGTAATGAGTTATTTTCTGATATAGAGAGAGGAATTTCTTTTTCATTAGGAAAAAATGCAGCTGCCGAGGGCACGTTTTTTTTTAGGGACAGAAATTGTTTGGTATAGAATGATTAATCAAAAAGGGAGAATTTTATTTATGAATTGTTGAGGGGTTTTGGGTGATCTAGTGGGGGTGGGGTTTTATCGGTCGTCTGACCAGATGTTCTTTACCTACTTGTTGCAATTCCATCTGTTCCATCGATCGTGGAAACAAGGGGCTTTTAGGGTCGACTAAGATACGATGAATAGGCATGAATGACGCCTACTACAGAGATTTTTGAGCTTGACCCACATTTCTTTCAGCACTCGCTCATGAATGTTTCACGCAGAGTGCATGAACGAGACGAGGATTCATTCATTCGTGGATTTTAAATTCAAAGGAATGTGTGGGCGCCCAGAGCTCTCAAGTTTTTCAGGACTTGGTGTCTCTTCAGAGCGTGGGTATTCATGGAAATTTTAATTTTCTAACGTTGGGTTGAATCTCAGGTTGAATTATTCATCAATTTTTCATTGATTTTGAGGCAACCTGAGGAGAAATACGTGGAGTAGTTGAATATTATTAAATACTTTAAGATTAAATATGCAGCGCAACGACCACTTTAAAGGATAACTTCAAACATTCAACAGATATTTTGAATTAACAATTTTTATCGATCACCAATTGACATCCAAAACTCAATTTTCACTGTAAACGATAGAAGAATTGTTTGCAGCTGCTTAATATTGATAATTATCATCTTATACATTATATTCTTTGCAGAATTTCATTTAGAAAAATTCTAAAATGATAGAATAGAATCGGATATCTGAGTGATCACCCCTGAGAGGAAAAGCTCTCAAATAAAGCTCCCGCATGATTTGCACCCTCGAAACAACTGACCGTGATGCTGACCCAATTAATGATCCCAGGTTGCTCCATCCTTGAACTCCCTCGGTAATTCTCAATGAAAATCGATTAACGTTCAATCAATAAACCGAATCGCGATGAACGGCAATAACAATGTATCGCCTTGGCCCAGAAATCCGTCAGACATTCAATTCATCTCGGGTGTTTCAGACTGGCGCAAAAGCCCGCGATCTCGTCTGCGTCGTCGCAGGTGGAAAACACGAGTGGAGTGTCTGCATCGATAAAGCACACCCTGAGGGCCAGTCGGTGAAAGCGCCCTAGGAAAGCTCACAGTTTTATTCACCTCAGCCCATTTTTTCCATCAAATCCAAACTATTCTCTCCAAAACTCCACATACCCGTGTAAAATTCCCACATTTTAGTCATCAATCGTCCGCCAATTCGTGAAAAAGCTGGAGATTATGCGAGGACTGGGTGGAATCCTCAGGTGCTTCCAGCAGTTTCAGTGTCAAATATCGAGCAAAACAAAAATAATATAAATCTTCAGCGGTGATGGATTTGCTTGTTCGCCTGTTAAATTTTTAGAATAAAAAGTCCATCTGCAGTTGAAAATATTAATTCGATTCTTGTCGACAGATCGTCAATTAAAAGGGGGAAAAATCTTATTGTTCTGTCAGAAGAATGCGACCAGCTTTGTTCTCTCTGATAAGGAATAAGTGAGGTAAAAGTGTTCTTCCGAGGGAAAAATAGCCCGGCGAGCGACGAGGCCCCGGGATTCGAGCAACAGGTAATTTCATTTTTCACGAATTCACTGCGATCTTCCTGTAAAATCTTAATTTCTTCAAAATCAACTTCATAATTTTGGCAAATACTGCGAAAAACTATTGATTTTTATTAAAAATGTCGGAAGAACCATTTTTTCAAACATTTATATTAAAACCATCTAGTGATATTATCTTGTCACTCCCACAGTTAATTACTTTACATTGATTAAGTAATTAATGGATTCATTAAAATGTACTTGGTAATTAAAAAAGGAAATCATTAGTAACGAATAATAATCGCCTGATAATTAATTGTCTCGGATATTCTGAATTTGCAGGGAATTTTTTACGGTTTCCGGGTGAAATGTAATTTAATTAATTCTCCGATTCGTGGGGGAATGTCGGCTGCCGGAAGTAGGTTAATTACTCGACGGATGTACTGGTAATGTCCACAGTCGTCATCGGAGACGGGTTTTTGTTCATCGGTTTACATTCATCCGTTTTTATTCGAAGAATTAACACCCTCAATTGCATAGATCATTTGACCTTGAACTTTCGACTGCACCTGCGTAGTGTTTTCTTGGAGAAGTTACAGGGAGGAAGATCTGTTGCTGAAAAAAAAAATGATTACATAAGTTTAGTTGAAATTCAAAATCATTTATTTCATTAAATTATTTAATTTAAAGTTGAACAAATCCAATGAACAATAAATAATAACTATGATAATTGAATAAATTTCTTAAATTGAATAAAACCTTTATTTGGCATAAATAAATTCTTTTTTTCTGTATATGCAAGAGATGAGAAAAAATTAAATAAAAAATTTATAGTTAATTGAAGTTGCTTGTGATTTTGGATACATTTATAATTTATATAGTTATAATTTGTTGATATTTTTGCAAATAGAAGGAGAGCACGGACTCGATGCCGGAGGCCTCGAGTTCAGGTGTCGGCCCAGACGTCATGGGGGTGGCAGATGAACCCGATTACTCGACTTTTGAGAACAGATCAGGTCTCGCTGAGGACATGAAGTTCCTCGCAAGCATGCCTGAACTCTGCGACGTGACCTTCCTCGTCGGGGACACCAGGGAGCCTGTCTGCGCCGTCAAGGCCGTACTGGCGGCAAGAAGCAGGTTGCCATGGAGTTCTCTATTTTTTTCACACCCCATCTCCGAGTATTTTTAACTAATTTTCTTCGGATCGCCAGGGAATACCCACGCGGGAGAATATCCACTCCGATACACGAACTTACATTGAATTTACTTGCCATTTTTCAGGAGTTCATACCCTTTAGAATTTCCGACGCAGATTAAACGAAATAATTTTCAAAATCATTCACGTTTTTACTGATTATTTATGTGTCTTCAATTCAAAAGAGATTGCAATTGAATATATAACATATACAGTTTATATATTTTGAAAAATATATAATTCAGATTATATCCTAATTTTAATCTCTAATTTTTAATTTTTATTTTCATGTCTTCATGTTAATTTTCGTGATATTAGATGAAGATGAATTTGATAAATACTATTGTGATATTTTAATTTACAAAAAAAACGATCAAGTATTCCACGCAAGAAATATTAGAAGTGAAATTAAATTTATTGAGTTTCGATGGATTGAAATCTATTCTTTGAACTGCCATTAATCGTAAGATTCACAAATGATTAATTTAATTGGTTTTGTTTACTGGATCTTCTAGAGTCTTCCACAAGATGCTCTATCAAGCCCCTAGCCCTCAACGCAAAAAAGAGCCTCCACCCCGGGAGAAGCTGAGATTTTTCCTGAAAAGAAGCTCTGAGCCTCTCCTCAATCTCCAGAATACCGCGCAACAGGTAAATTAAACATTTCATTACAACTTAACAACAATTCCCTTAGCTACTCCCAGAGAAGGAATATTTCTCCGAATCAAGAGCCTAATTGTGCCGAAAAATGTTCTCAAGTTTCTTCTCTGCAAACCTGATGGCAGCAATTTGCAAGATTGATAATGTGATTGATAATTCATCAATTTCAATACCAGAGGATTGAAAAATGCTGAAATGTGTGAATGTCCCAGCGAATGGCTGAATTTGTCTGATCATCTAAAGTGTACACTACTTAAAAATTTATTAAATATCACAGAGGCGAGAAAGTTTTATCTTTCAGAGACTGCTCTTTAATTTTTAAGGTAACAATGTAAATCGGTGAATGGAATCCAGTTGGAGATGAATCCTTGAAAATAAAACTTTTTTTCTTCTGCGTGATTATATTAATTGGAAAAGTTAAATGTGCATTTGTTGTCGCGACAGCGTTCAGGGTTCACGCAGCAGTTGGCTCCCATCCAAGAGGTACTTTCCAAAAAAAGTAGATTCTCAATTTCTCTATAGCCTAGAAGAGTTAAAAAATTGCAAGTGAAGGCCTAGAAGATTCTACACTCGACTGTTTTATCTCACCACTCTACTTCCTTCTGAAAATTTCTACTAGACCAGAATTCCTTAATTATTGTGCACTGTTAAAAAAAAAAGACATTGCGTGGATAATTGACTTGTTATTTTAGAGGGCAATGACGCCAAATGGGATTGCTGGAGATAAAAATCAGGAAATATCAAAACTTCAAGAAAATTCCAATCTAATGTGAATACTCGGCGAAACTTGAACGTCAATTATTTATTTTTCTTTACTCATCCCCAGTGTCATTGCTTTCGAATTTCAAGAATTTATTTACCAAAATTTTTCGGATTGTTATTAATTTTTTGTTAAAAGTGTACGTAAATTGACAATTCTATTACCATTTTCCCGGAATTTCTAAATTTTTAATTATAAGATATTTAAAAATTCCGGTATAATTGCAAAATATGCAATTTGGCACGGAAAGATTAGTTAAAATTTTTTAACAGTGTAATCACAATGCGTAATGACCCGTGCATGCGAGAAATGTCAGCAGAGAATGACGGGAAATTTATAGCCCGGGAATCTGTCCCAAGGTCTGACCATAGCCTGTTTGCATCACTGGAACGTGTATTTTAGAAAAAAACACTAGTGTGAGAACGTAGAATAGTGATTGCTGCGGGGTAATAGCCTGAAAAATTGGAGTGAGGACCAATGGGCTTTGCTGTGCGCTTTGAAAAAATTGTGTTCTGTAAATTCCAAAAGGCCCGGCTTCGAGAAAATCATGCTGGGCTGATGGCTAGACGCTTGGCACGTGCATCATGGAGACCTACGGAGACTTTGCTTTGCTGTATTATTGAGTGATAATTGTTGGGTCTGAGTCTCATGTTAACGTTTTTGTTCAATGGTAAGCCACAAGCTAATCAGCACCACACCCTCATCATCGAGGAGTTTGAACCGGATGTTTTTCGCCAGCTCATCGAGTATATTCACACGGGTTGTGTCACCCTCCAGCCGAGAACCTTATTAGGTAAGCCATTTACTTTTTGCGTATGCAGTGCACCGTAAAATTTGTTAATTAATTTTTATTTTATTAGAAGAATTACACAAATCAGAGTAAATCCATGAATCCAAGAAATTCAATTGATTCTTTTAATAAATATCAATATGAACACTAAACTGTTGAATTATCAACAAATATTGGTTAATTAGTGCAATTATATTGTATTCGAAAAATTATTATCATAATTTTTGATTGAATTTTCTCTGGAATTTCAGAATCTTGTAATTGGAAAATGAAATAAGATGTTGTGCTTTTTTCTAATTATCTGCAAATCGATGAAATGTTGGAATTTTCAGATCAATTATTCCGCGAAAATTGTGAGGAATTCGTGAAAAATTGTAAATTTCATTCGACCAGAGATTTTTTTGTATGATTTTATAATTATCAATAAATAATATCAAGATTTCGAGAAATTGTGAGAATTTTTTAAAATTCCAATGACGAAGTAATTAATTTTTTTATTTCACCAGGAGTGATGAATGCCGCTGATTATTACGGATTGGACGAACTGAGAAAAGCCTGCGCCGGTTTTGTCCAGTGCTGCATCACGGTGGACACTGTCTGCGCACTTCTGGCATCTGCCGAAAGATATATTCAGTATAAATGCACTAAATCACTTGTTCAGAAGGTATTTACCTTTATTACACACTAATAAACATTTCCATAAATTATCCATAATTACACAGAAAAGCAAATACAAAAAGGCGAATTTTTTATTTACAATCAATTTATCATTTCTATTTTTTAAATATCGTGACTTTCAGCAAAATGAAGAAAGAGAAAGAAAAAGTTTTAGGAAAAAATAAATTAGACTTTTATGGAATACATAAATAAATTACCTGAATATTTAGAAAGAAAATAAAAAATGTTTTTTTGTACTTAAAATGACAAGAGGCTTTTCAAGAGCGTAAATTTGAAGTGTTCAATCGATAGTAATCGGACTTTGATTGCTTATCTTGGGGGCTCGTATCTTTTTATGTGAAACCACGAAATTCTTTCATCAAAGATAAACAACAGAATTGTGATGTAACACTTTTTATCAGAGAAATTAGGGACGCGCGTGTTTTTTAAGATAAAATAAAATGCGTCGTGATCGTATCACTTTCAACAAGATATATATTTTTTATTTTCAAGGTTTTGGAGTTTGTCGATGAACACGGCAACGAGGTACTCAATTTAGGATCTTTCACGTTACTTCCTCAGCATGTGGTAAGACTCATCCTGGCGAGAGAAGAATTACGTGCCGATGAATTCACGAAATTTGAGGTACAATTGAAATGAAAAATTCTACCTGATTTTCTTCAAATTTCGATTTTCTAAATAGATTACATCCTAAATATTAATTTCAAATATTTCTACTTTTAATCGAACTGAGACAATAATTATTGCCCGCTTTCTGTAAGTTTTTTTTATTAATTTACATAATATTATTCCAGGCTGCATTAATGTGGAGCAAAAAATATTGCGACAGCAACCCGACGATTCCTCTAGAGGAGGTAATCGGCAATTTCTTAGAATACATTCAATTTCACAAGATCCCAGCAAATATTTTGATGCGTGAAGTTAAACCACTGGGACTGGTGCCATTACCCATTATCCTGAACTCGCTGGCCTATCAGGTGGGTGTCACGTGAATGCCTTTTTCCCTCTTTCAGGTCCTCATTTTTATTCTTTGACTTCTTGAAAATTCCCATCACTCAATGACTCCTGTTGTTATTAACTTCTTCATTTTTATGTGGTGTCATTAATCTGTTGCGGTCATGCGTCAGAATAATGACTTAACGGATATCTATGGGATCCAGCGGAGCCCACGCAGCAAAACCAGATCTCATTTGTATTCTATAATATGTATTGACATAAATTTTGTATCAAACTTCAATTTAATATTCCTCCTTAATCATCCAATTCCTGCTGTAAGAAGAATAATTTTAAAATCCTCACGAATCGTTAAGAGAAAAAGAATTTCAAAATATAGAGTATAGTAATAACTTCGGAAAATTAATTTATTTCAAAGGCTGACAAGTATTTTGGGAACGTATTTGGATAGAACCTCATTATTTTGATAAGAGGCGTACCCAAAGTATTTTTCAGCCCTTGTAGCATAAATAACTATTATGTTAAAATTTAAAATTACAAATTTCGATCAATCTCGTAAAATCTAAATGTTACATTTATAATAATCCTGCTAATAATAGTCCTTGTAAATTAAAAAAACCACAAAGTTTGTCTAAAGTTCACCAACTACATACCTATCCTAATAACTATATGTGACAACATTCGAATATTGTCTTGCCGTTTATTCTGAACTTTGAAAAAGAAAAAAAAAATCATTTTGCGGGGAAAACGGAATTTCACCTGGAGGTGGATTTGACCCGAGGATTTGTTGCAGGCAGACCCCACCAGTGTCGACCCAGGGAAACTCTCTCCCCACCGAGTGAGGAGACAGGGTCGCAGTATGTCAGTGCAATCATCATTGGATCCATGCGGTAGTAACACGACATTGAGCTCGTGCGGAAGTTCCGACCAGAAACAGCACTCTGGTAGCAACTAACCTATGGCCCCGGCCGCCCTGTTGGCGGCCGCTGCCGACGTTACACCTACGGAAACACCGCCGAGGAGCGTCGCGACGCCGGATCTCCGAGTCATCGTCCATACACCAGCTGTAACTCCACCGGGTAGCTATCATTCTCATCAAGATGATGAGGCCAATGGGGAGCATCAAACCACTGCTGATGTCCATCTGGAGAGCATTGAACAGGCCATTGAGCCCCTCGATAAGAACAGTGGCCTCTACATTCGCCTCGTTTTCAGGCAAGAGGGACGACCCGATATCGTTTGGTTTTACAAAACTCATAAATTTTAGGCGTCAATATTACGTCAAATTTTTTCAACTGATACCATTTTTTATCTAGTCTACTGCCAGGAGGGGTCTTCTATGATATTTACATTTTATTCGTTGAAGTTTCGAGCTTTAATTCGAATTACGTTCATTTTAAACATTATGATATTGTCATTATATTGTTCGTTTTATTGTTTTAAATTGCAACTCTTTACTTTTTTACCTTCACGTGAGTTGACTATTTTTTTTTCATTAAAATGTTCATGTAAACGATATATTTATGGAATTCAATGATATATTTCTGACAACTGAGGCTGGACGTTCGTTTTTAAAATGATTTTAGCGCAATTTAATGGAGGGATTTGATAATCAAAAGTATGTGAAGGGTGAATTTCTGAATTATGAAAAATGTCCAAAAATGTTCCCGAGAATGAGGAGAATTACGGGGATTCCCCACTGCATTCTGGTTAATCAATCGACCCTCCAAAGTTAAAAAATTAATACCAATCAAACGATTAGATCTCTCATGAGATAAAAAACGTGCGTTCGTCCTCGAGTGTTCCAAATCAATCACGACATATCGAATCGAGGCATTTTGATGAATATCAGTGAACCGGAATGACTCGAACAAAACAAACTCTATATTTGATACTGCGCACGGTGAAAACCTGAAACAAAGCCGAAACATTTTATTCACCCGAGCGTGTGTTCGCATTATCGGGTAACAGTCATTTCATAATCGACAATTACAGGTATCGATGATGATGGTGACATTATTCATCGCACTTATCGATCCATTCCTTTGTGATAGTTTGTTATTTGTGTTTTGAATTATATCAACTGTTGAGAATTTCGAGAATTTAAGAGGATCATTGGAATACAGAGTCATTCAGTCCGTTCTACCGTATAATTAACCTTTAGGATAATAGATGTTCATTTAACGTTATATTAATAGTTAATTATAATTGCACAAAACATCGAACACAGCCATTAATTCATGAATTATCGCAGAAATCGTTTCATCCGTTTTAACGAATACACTACAATTAATGCAATAAAAGTATTAATAATCGTTGAATATTTGAAAGCAGCGGAGAGTGACGTACACCGCAACGACGCAATTGCAACTTTTTTTTTCATTGTAACAATCTCTTCATTTCAAATGAATTTTTCTTACAAATCAATTGTAGAACTTCGTTGCCAATTATAATTAATTGCCGTATAATTAATTACGCTATGCAAATTTATTACAGTTTTTGAATAAAAGTTCCATCGAATACTCCATTGTTTGATAAAAAACAACTCAAAAGTTCAGGCAAATTGGAAGTTCAAAATTTTGAGAACAATTTTTCGAAAATCGACTCAAAGAATATATTGAATATCGATTGCAACATAACTCGATAAAAAACTGTCGCTGGGAAATTCGTCACATCTCCAAAGCCCAATGAAAATACTAAAAATAATCTAAAAAGAGATGTAAAAACCAAGAAAGTTGCTACCCGAGTTAACAATTGCGACGCATTATTGTTATTCACAATGATAAAAAAGGAACTCATAGAAAGTATTCTTTTACAACTCGAAATAAATGCCAGTAATCTGAAGGTAATACCGAGGATCACGTTGTGAGTAGATGTTCATAGTGTACGTATAGAAATCAAATTTCATCATCACAATCATCCTGGGGCGTCGTCTCGCCAATCATCACGAAAATTGTATTCGTTTTATTCTATTCGTCAAGTTCACTGAATACTGCGATCTTGAAACGCTAATGGTTAAATAAATCCGCGGACGCCCTTTGACAACAATCCTACCTCAATATTTTCAGTATATGCCCGAGTACTTGGGAACCCGTAATTAATCTGTCATTTTATTATTTGAGATGCAACAATTCGCCATGAATCCATATTCATTTTTTTCTTAAATGAATAGTACTTCTTGCTGCATAGAAATTCTCAAATATAAAAAAGTGTTTGAATCGTTTTTTTTTTGCTTTATTCAGTCCATTTTCCTTTGGGATTCCCCAATAAATTTTTGGTTTTGTAGTTTCGTTTATTTTGCTCACAAATTTATGGTTTCTATCACAGAAGTTGAAAAAAATGCTGCAAGAGGAAAACTCCTATAACTTCATAAATGCAGATATAAAAAAAAGTTTTTTAATCTCCAGGATATCGTCCGATTATTGAAATTCAGTCCTCGACTGAAGCCCAAGTGTCGAACATATTTCGCCTTTAAGGTGGTTGTCGCGCGACAGTCTCTGTAAAAAGTTTATCCGCTGTAAAACGGGCCAGTTTAGAACACAATCTTTTAGCGGTATATAGTCTCACTTGATTGATTGCATTGTGCATGGATAGCTAAAGCATAACTATATGTTTTCCATATTAACTATTTTCAATTATATAAATTTATGAATTTCCGATAATTATATTCCGTAAACCAAACGGTCAATCGATTTGATTTTTTTTTCTGTATTTCCTCCCACGATGTATATTCCACGTTTTTTTTTATTTCTGAAACTGTCGAGCCGTTGATTTTTAAAAAATTCTAATCGGCAAAACTCCATTTAAACACGTGTTAAATCACTGGTATTTCAAAAATTTATATCTCAAGTTCAAAACGGTCAATTGCAAACGGAAAAGGCTCATTTTGTTGCTAATTTTTCAAACTATTCACCATAAAATTGTTAACGAAAACTGTCGAAAAAAAATTCTACGCGACAACAACCTTAATTCATTATCACTTGAAATTCTCAAAAAAATTTTGATTCTGTGGAATTTTCTTGCTTGAATGATTTCATTATTCCGATCAGGTGAAGTTGCATCTCCTGCCTGTTTATAATCCCAAACCCATCGATATCCCTTCCCAATCAAACTAGTCGTTGAATATAATCCACACAATCCACTCATAAAACCCTCGTTTTTACGCGCTCGTTGATGTTTCCACCCAGAGGTGAAAACCAAATAAAAAAAAAAGTGGATCTAAGATTTTATTGTGAAACACATAAGAAAAAAATCCGACCGTGAATGTGAAAGTCGGTACTATTTTATATTGTCGTGTTATATGCCCGTGGTTGCATAAGTGTCAAGGATACATTTATGTGGATGTGAACCATAATACCATACACAACATTATCTCGTCTATATGCGTAAATGTGTGCGTACAATATTATAAACAATGCGAAGAGTGTTATCCTATAAAATCTGTTAACGATAATTGAAAATGTTATGGATGATTTGTTGGGGCGAACTGATATCAGCCAGATCACTGCTTTATGAATAATTCGTCTTGTTGTTATGCAAATGTTTATTATATTCACTGGATATTTTATTTATTCAAGGGGAGATGTCGGTGAAATTGCAATGTCCACTGGGAGGAAAAACTTTGATATATTATATAATATATTAAATTAAATTGAATATTTAAAATACGTAGAATATATCAAATATTTATATATTTTAATGTTTTGAAAATTATGAACGTACGATGTCCGCGTTAAACTCATTGTAATCATCATTTTATGACCTTTTAATGTATTTCATTATCCATCATAATTCGCTCAATACGTTTCTAACTCTTATAAAGACTTTTGAGTTTTACCGCGGTTTCTCCTTGCGCGGAGAAAAATTTGTAGTAAAATTAATGTTTTAGTAAAAAATAGGGAGTACAGTAAAAATGAGAATTTGTTTTGCTGAAAATTGCCGTTGCGGGATTTTTGCTGAATTATCATTTTCACTTCAAATTTTTCTCCAGAACTCCGAAACGATGGAGTACAGCCGCAGGATAATTACCTCGTTAATCATTTGCTCGGTTTTCATTATTGTTAAATTAACAACATTGATGAACGATACTTCTTGATCAGTTCGCCATGAAGTGATGAAGTGAAGTGAAATCTACCTAAAGTTCGATCTCTATATAATGTCGTGATATACTGTAATAAAATAAGTAAATGACGAAAAAGTCATAATAAAAAGACAGTTCAAAATGCTCTTCTCAATTACTCCTTATCCTCTATATTATTCAACTTCTCAACATTAATTCCATTAAATAATTCTTTTACTACTTTCTATTCCAAACAAAAAATAGATTTATAATTTTTCACTTCATTAAAGGAAAATATTTCTAGAATCTTGATAGTTCACTTTACAATTGGTGACTCACTCTTTGGAGTATTGATGATTAGATAATAAAGAGTGAAAATAACAAGGAAAATCTATTTTCCCGGGTCCATTTTTCCTGTTTATTCACCCAGTCAACTTTGACTTGAGATACGTACCGATGTATCCATTGGGCAATTAGAATGAAAAAGGACGTCAGATGGTGAGCGTGAAACGAATAACAGCAATTTTTGCGAGTACTCTTTCCTTTATGTCTCATTCCTCACTCGAGACAGCCTGAGGTGAAGTTCACGGTGCCGCATGCAACGAGAAAGCCGCAAATACGTGAATTTTTATTGCCAGTACCACCAGCTGTACATCCGTAAGAAAACACACTGGTATTGTATCCCATTGTGACGAGTTATGTGTCAGGAATTTTCTGTCATCGCGTCTGAATTCCATTGGTCCTTTGACGAGTGAATAATGACACCAGTGTCAACTTGTGCAAACAAAAGTTAACCAGATAGAACGTCTGGGATATAGAGGCTGAAGAGTGACACCTCAGCAACATTCGAGATGGTGCCGTTCAGGATGAAGGCCATTCCGTTATTCCTGACTTTTCTCACGTGGACATACGCCCAGAAGCACCCGTATTATGTTGACGATCGTGGAACTATGGTTCATCTTTTTGAGTGGAAGTTCCAGGATATCGCGAGAGAGTGCGAGGAGTTCCTGGGGCCCATGGGTTTTGGAGGTGTCCAGGTAACACCCATCGTAGATAATACAATTGATGAAAATTGACTTTTCATAAATCGGATAAACTAAATTCTAATATTTACTGGGTTTTTATACTTTTTGTCCCTGGAACAGGTTTCACCAATCCACGAAAACCTAATAATCCCCGGAAGACCCTGGTACGAGCGCTACCAACCGATCTCGATGAAAATCCATTCGCGATCCGGAAACGTATCAGAATTCCAGGACATGGTGAGACGGTGTAACGCAGCTGACGTGAGGATTTACGTAGACGTCGTTGTCAATCACATGACTGGAGATGCGAATCCAGCGAGAGGTGTTGATGGATCCACCGCTGAACCCTCCCTGAAGTCCTACCCCGCGGTGCCCTTCACTAGTGCAGACTTCCACAGAACCTGTGCCATCAGTAATTATCAGAATGCCACAGAAGTGAGGGACTGCGAACTCAGTGGACTCCATGATCTGGACCAGAGCAAAGAGCACGTCAGGGCTGCCATCGTTGAGTACATGGACAGAATCACTGATCTAGGAGTCGCCGGTTTCAGGTAATCTCCATTTACTTTTTTACCTGAAGAAAATCAAGGACAAGTTACTGAAATTGAAAGTATTTTTTTCTGTCAATGAATCTAGAATCGACGCTGCCAAGCACATGTGGCCCCAAGATCTGAGGATCATCTACAGCAGGCTGAAGAACCTCAGCGTCTCCGCAGGATTTCCTCGAAATTCCCGACCCTTTATTTACCAGGAGGTCATCGACCTGGGGAATGAGGGTGTGAAGAAGGCGGAGTACACCGATTTTGGGAGAGTCATCGAATTTAATTTCGGCATTGTCCTCGGCAACATGTTCAGGGGATTGGAGCCGTTGAAGGATTTGAAGAACTGGGGGAATGGCTGGGGTCTCTTACCATCAGGTGATGCCCTTGTTATGATCGATAATCACGACAATCAGAGGGGCCATGGTGCGGGTGGAGCAACCATTCTCACTTACAAAGATGCTAGGATCTACAAGGTACGCTAGATTGATTTTTCATAGTAAACTCCATAGATAACTGAATGGCGTAGGATTGGCTAAACGTCTTATAGAGGTCATAAAGAGGTTGTGGAGGTCTTATGGGGGTCATATAGGCGTACATCTGTCAGAGAGATCTTACAGAGGTACTATAGGGGTTGTGGAAGTCATATAGAGGTCATATAAAGACTGTCAAGGTCTTATAGGGGTCATAGAAAGGTTGTGGAGGTCTTATAGAGGTCATAAATAACAAAAAAGCACCTGAAATCGATACATATAATTACAGATGGCGACAGCTTTTGAATTAGCTCACCCGTACGGTACCACTCGCATTATGAGTTCATATTCCTTCACGGACCCCAGTGTTGGGCCCCCAGCTGATTCCGATGGCACCATAATCTCGCCCAAAATCACCAACAACGTCTGCACCAACGGCTGGATCTGCGAGCACCGCTGGCATCAAATCTACCAAATGGTAATTTTTCGAAATGTCGCCAAAAGGTCTCCTGTGGAAAATTGGTGGGACAATGGGAACAATCAAATTTCGTTCTCACGCGGTCGTCTTGGATTTATCGCCATCAACGGTGAGACCGAGGATCTACGTGGAAATCTGACGACCGGACTCCCCGCGGGAAAATATTGCGACGTTATCTCTGGAGAGGTTCGAGGCAACAAGTGCACCGGTAAAACCATCGAGGTCACCGAAAACGGGAAAGCGTTTATCGAAATCCCCGCTAACGCTGATGATGGAGTTCTCGCTATTCATATCGGTAGAACTTCAGCTTTGAATTTTTGATTGATTAAAATTGATAATAATATATAATAAATGGCACTCGATAGCTTCAACTAATCATCGAAAATCCACCAGCACGAAAATTGAATGTCCATTGAACTTCGGTTTTTAATCGAAAATTCATTGAAAAATAAATTTTTTATTGCAATGATTCACTGAGCATTTATGCAGGGGTGACAATTACTAATAGATTCAATAGATTGGAATGGCGCATGTAACACTAGAAGATGAAAATATAATATGAATAATTATCCAACTGTCGTCTTATCTCGTTTGAACTTGATAACAAGTGCGTTAAGGTCTGTTGACGATGAAAATTCGTCGTGATCTTCACAGTAAGTTTGGATTATTCTTCGGGTCTCAACAACACATCATATTACACCGACGATTATTGATTCCCCATGAGAAAAATCATCCAGGAAATGGTTGGCGGGAGGGGGCAGAATGTCGAGTGAAAGAGACAGTGGCCTCCGAACCAATTTGTTGGGAATTCAGTGATAACCAGAGTATATATTCAGTGAACATTACAAACCACAATGACACACATTGGCATGCAGTCGATGGTAATTGGTTTGATTGCGTTTGCAGCGGCCACTGCTGCTACCACCGATAACCATAAACATCCAAATTACGCACCTGGTCATGACGTAATTGTCCATTTATTCGAGTGGAGATGGAAGGATATTGGTGATGAGTGTGAGAGATTCCTTGGACCGATGGGATTCGGAGGCGTCCAGGTATGTACCATTTCATGACCAAATAAACTTATTTATCTATTTATATTTATTTACTCCGAATAAACAATTTGTTAATTTCTTTTAATTCAATAATTCGTTGGGTGTATCAATTATTAATTTTTATACACTTTGTGCTTCATTCATTCCATTGAATTTTTCATTTTGTAATTATGTGGTCATTATAATTGAAAATATTTAATTGACCATTCCTTTACTTTCACGAAATAGTGTTGAAATGCGAGAGTATACGAATGAATAAATTAAAAAATAGTTGCAGATAATTATTTTATTTGTGGATTTCCGTGGAATAATTGTTCAATAATGTGCAATGTCTAGAAAGTAATTAGGTTTCATTCCAAGTAATCGCAAGATGATTCAATTGTTGTTACAATCAGTCGCATGACATTTGTTATCTAAATTAGTGCTTAACAAGAGAATAATGGGTAGTTCGTGCCGACTGAAGTCCATGGAACATTGATGTATCATATGCATCATTTAAAATGACCCATTTAGGTCTCACCAATCCAAGAAAACGTAGTAATCCCAGGGAGACCCTGGTGGGAGCGTTATCAACCGATCTCTTATCGATTCGTCACTCGTTCCGGTAACGAAATCGAGTTCAGGGACATGACGAGGAGATGCAATGCCGCTGGTGTTAGGATCTACGTCGACGCAATCCTGAATCACGTGTCCGCTGATCACGATTTCGAGGTGATTGGCACTGGGGGAAGTTGGGCTGATCCATCCACCAGGAACTATTCGGCTATACCGTATTCGCGTGGGGATTTCCACAGGAGTTGTCCTTTGAGGAATTTCAGTAATCCTGTGGAGGTGAGGAACTGCGAGCTCGTGGGACTCCACGATCTTGATCAAAGTATTGAACATGTCAGGGAGAGACTTCTCGCGTTTATGAATCGGGCGATTGACGCTGGAGTGGCTGGATTCAGGTGAGAACGAACGGATGAATTGAGTTCTAATTAACTCATGGAAAATAATCAGACAATTTTTATTATTTTGACTCTGAGCGTTATAACATACGTGTGGAATATAGTTGTCGTATATGGGATTAATATACGTGGAATCAACAGGTGTTTCATTGAAAATTCGATAAAAAAAAATTACTTTCCTCCAAAAATCAAACACCGGGACCCAGGGTTAGATATTTTTTCCAATTTTTAATTTTTTGCCTTTTTAAGCGTTTCAATATCCTTCATGAAATAAATGTGGAATCAACTATGTCGGGAAGTGGTAAACTGGGGTTAGTGGTTTTTTTCGGACTGCTTTTAGCGGATCTTTCGCAATTAAAAGAAAATAATGATACAGCATACCCCAAGGGGAACGGTGAATAAATTTTTCAACAAATTTCTTCTCATGATAAATCCATTACTTAATCCTAATAATTTCATCGTTTCATCATCGTACTCTTAGAATCGACGCAGCCAAGCACATGTGGCCGCAGGACCTGCGAATAATATACTCCCGCCTGAACGACTTGAACCCATCACACGGTTTCCCCAGGAACGCCCGCCCCTACATCTACCAAGAGGTGATAGACGTGGGTGGTGAGGGTGTCTCGAAATACGAGTACAACGATTTCGGTGCAGTGACAGAGTTCCGCTACGGTGTGGAACTCTCAAAAGGGATGATGGGTAAGAACGCCCTGAAGTGGTTCCAGAACATCGGGGAGGCCTGGTCGATGCTGCCCCAGGACTCGTCCCTGATTTTCGTTGACAATCACGATAATCAGAGGGGAAGTGGCGGAGGTGGAGCTGTCCTGACGTACAAGCAGCCGAAACTCTACAAAATGGCAGTTGCCTTCATGCTGGCACATCCTTACGGCAACCCCAAGGTCATGAGTTCATTTGCGTTCGACACGTCTGATCAGGGCCCTCCTGCTGACTCCCAGGGGCATCTCACACCCCCAGTCATCAGGGGAGACGGCACCTGCGGCAACGGTTGGGTGTGTGAGCACCGTTGGAGGCAGATTTACAACATGGTGATCTTCAGGAACGCCGTCAACTCCACCAAAATCACCCAGTGGTGGGACAATTCTAACAATCAGATTGCGTTCTCACGCGGTCGGGCCGGATTCATCGCCATCAATGCTGATGATGAAGATCTCAAGACGGATATTTACACTGGGCTATCCCCTGGTACCTACTGCGATGTCATTTCTGGAAGTCTTCAGGGCGGCCAGTGCACTGGAAAATCTGTCGTTGTTCGCCAGGACGGTTATGCGTATGTGGAAATCCTCCTCGAGGAAGAGGATGGAGTTCTCGCTATTCATAGAAATGTGAGTCCAGAGTCTTAAATCTTGAATCTCAAGACTACTGATGCTTTTGCTAGTGGAGGATTCATTTCGACTGACTCTTAACAGTTCAGAAGCCGGTCAATTAAATCTGAAGCAAATTTCCCTCATATTCCAATTATTTTTCTTTTAATTTTGTCGAATTTTGATATTGAACATCATTATTATTCTGGATACAATTAATCCAGAGTGATTATTACTTTGCAATATTGATGTTTGCATTAAAACATTTATCAAGGGTTCAATGAAAAATAATCCGGTTTAAAATAAAAATTCGGAATGTGGCACTGCAAAATTTTTTGAGATTAAAAAAAAGATGAAATAATCAGCTAAAGCCATCAAAATAAATATACTACAACATTTCAATATTCATTAGATTGAATCAATTTGTTAATTGTTAAAAAACGTTAAATTACTTTTTCAGGCGCAATTGATGTCGAAGGATGACGAATTGGAACTCGAAAGTGAGAAATTGATCTACACGACTATTTTACAGTAATTTAACGTCTCCATCAATAAATGCTATTTATTTTTCTAATGATAATAATAGAAAAAAGCAACTCTTTGATTTTAGTATTTTTCAACAAGTTTATTTTAACAGAAACAATGCACTGTTGTCCTCATTCCTTTTTTCCGTTTCCTCTTTTCACCATTAATCTTTCCTATACATTACTCAATAACAGTTAATTCATCAAAATAATACATGACAGACTTAAACGAAACAAAAAAAATGATAAAAGGGGGTAATGAGGTGGAGAGATCGAGGAGGATGTCGATAAATACGATTAGAAATGGGAGAATTGGAAAAGATAATATGGTGAGAAAGGGAGAATGGAGGGACATATGTAAAACACTGCATTATCACAAAATAGCTGTAATTACCCAGCTGTACACTTTTTCTCATTTGTTTAATCTCTCTTTCCCACCCTATTTCCTACATAACTTTTTTTGCTCGTTTTTACGCGGAAAAACTGATGTACCGTGACTCAATAAGAATTTTCCTTCCATGAATCGTGCATCACTCATCGGTTTATGATGCTGATATTACAATACTACAACTGTTTTTCCTTCGTGAGAGCAGTAACATAAATAAACATGTTTAAGCATTATGTACAGTGATTCTTTAAGTAAAAGCCGCTAGTTCGTAACTCGAGAAAGTGATGGATTTTTGATAACACGAGAGAAATATGAAATTTATTCAGTAGTGAAGTGGTGAAATGAGCCATTAAGAGTAATTATTCCTTTCTTTCTTATTTTCTCAATAATAAAAGAGTGAATTTATTTCAGAATGAGTTTCGAAAATCATGGACTCAGTTTGTATCACCCTGTCACTACTCAAAAATGTTTCGACAATTTTTTTCGAATTCTGAAAACCTCAAGTTTTCTGATCTTTGTACAATTAGTTTCTGGTGATCCAGACACGCATGAAACGTCACCCGCGGACCAAAATATGTATCGACGTGTTATTCCGTTCAGTTCTCAGATCAACCCTTGCTGTTATCTAAAAATACTGCTCGCAGTACGAGTTGCTCTCTTTGTGTACGAATTCTTCCTCTTTCAATGCAATTGCGTAGTCTCAGCCCCTAGTTACAAATTACCTTAAAACTGTTATGTTGAATACAATAAGGCAACGGTTAACTTAGTAAATAAATAAAAATTGTTACAAGTTGGAAAATAGTGAATGTACAAACTCTTCAGAGAATTACAACTATGTAAAATTGACATTTTCAGATTTTCAAGAAATAGCTTGTAGATTGTATCAAGAGTATCCAAGTACTCAATCCTTCATTTAGTTACAATGATTTTACTATTTGAACTGTGAATTGCAGAGACACAATTTGACAGAAAAATTCAGTGACTGAAAATAAAAAGAAAAAGTACTTGAATAGCCTGAACCCCGTATTATGAGTAAAGTAGAGCACGTTGGATCCGTTTGACAATGTTATTAGCAAAAATATAATTTAGATTTACACTCCATTCGCACAATAGTCCATTATAAAAACTTCGTTAAAATATATAAAAGAAACAACGATTTGAGCAAGTACGTATCCTAGGGAAATATTATTCAACGAGTCGAAAGAATTATTGTTATTGCACATGTTTCTCGCTATTCCTTATACTCTCATCCACGTATACCGTATTCACTCATTAAATTTCAATGAAAATGCCTCGAAGTGGAGTTGACTGGTGTCAATTCGTTGGAAGACATTAGAATATGTAAGTACTCGTTTCATTCTTTACAAAAAATACAATACATATGAGCTAATCTCTTCTTCTATTCCTTTGAATGCCATCTTATTTATTGGTCGTTGTTAGCAGTAAAATTTCCAATAAATTGAAAAAAAACACGTCCATTACAAATTTAAATAATTCTCAATGAGAACTATGCAGAATAATTTTAAATTTCTCAATAAATTCTCAAAAATATTGTATTCATCTCTTTGTAGGCACTCTCAGCATAAATCTAGATTAGGCTAATTAAAAACTAGTTTAGGTACTGAAATTGGGCGGAGTCTCCTCGTTAAAATGTCGTGCCGTAATTAGTGGTCACTGTTTGATGGGTTTTTTAAATATGACATCGGGTTTGCGAACAGGACGGGATACGCGTCTCTCGATTCTCAATGCACGATTTGGATCGGCATCGGGACCCGGAGTCTCCGCCATTGTTTGTCAGTTTCCAGTGCTGCTTGGCCGTCTTCCGGGTGTCTGCGTAGTGTTGACCGTTGCAGCGGCTGCAGCAGCTGCTGCTGCATTCAGCACAGGAAGTGGTGTTTGATGGCAGTGAGCGCAGTGGAGGCACACTGTGCAAGCACCGAGCTTTCGGGCGAGCATTGCTCGGAGCTTCAATGCTGGACCCAATTTCATGCCCATTGGGCCCGTCAGGTGGTCCTCCGATAAAAGAGGTAGGGATGTACCGTCGATACGATTCTCTCGGAAATTCTGAAACAACAAAATTATCCAATTGATTCATTGATTTTTTCATTAATATTATGGTATCACTAGTATTATTCTTATCATTATTATTTTGGCAATCTATATTGCCATTTGTAATAGTCTGGTTATTTATTATAAATAATAGAATGGAATGTTTTATATTATAAGTACCAAGTGAATTTTCGATATTGTGAATTTGAGTTCAATTGATTTTTTAAAGAAATTAGACATATTAGGCTAAATCTGAGAAATGAAAATTTCTTGGACTTTAAAGAAAATTGATTAATTTGTAAAAAACTGAGACCAAGCGAAATTTCGTGTAAATTATTTGTGGTTGATGAATGTAAATTTTTTTACATAAATTTCTTTTGTTAGAAGAAAAAACGACATATTTGCAATAATCGTACACTTAAAATTTCGTTTGTAAAATTTGATGGCTTTAATTATACTTTTTGACTGATTAATTTCCGATTTGAATGGAATGTCAATTTTATTTCTAAAGATTGACTGCCTTGAAGAAATGATGAGGTTCAATTGACATTTGGGATAACAATTTCAATGTGTAAAATTCCTCCAATTTCACAGTCTGAAATTGTCCATAAAATTGGCCTCAATTCCATTACTAATAATTCTTATAAACCACCTAGTATGTCAGAACTGGCGTGCGAATAGGACCAAGCCTAGGTCAACCTCGTGAACCACAAGCAGTTCTTGACCACGAACACCATACAATAACATTCGAGGAACCTTTCACTAGGTGTGTCAGATTATCTCAATCCCCTTGACTCACCTCCATAAAGAATCCCCAGTTATTCAATTTTTCCCCCGAGAAACCCATAAACATCGCAATAATCCCCATAATCACCAGTTCCCTGATTTATTGTCATTATCATCTCTCCCGTTGAAACCACGTTCTCATTAATTAATCGCAATTGCTATTGCCATCGAGAGGTATAACGAGGGCCCCATTTCAGTCAATTGCCTCTCGCCCCCGCGTCGAGAAAAAAATGTCACATTACCATGAAAATTACGTAAAAATTACGATAAAAAAATCAAAGATTTTTTTTTCTGCATTATAAAAATGTATTTTTATTGTAACTAGTAAAAAAATTCATCTTTTTGTAATAAAGATTTCCATTCCATTCAAATATTTAGGGGATTCCCGGGAAAAAGGGGAACCGCAGGCAAAATGGGGCACGGACTAAAATGGAATGAGTGTAAGATGAGATGAATGAGAAGGTTCAACGGGAGACGAGGAGAAACAATCTATCGTAACAAGCCATTATTCGACATTTCAATTTGTCCGGATTTATTACACGTTACTGATGAAAAATCATGAATTTTTATAGAATTTATAATATTTTCTTCTAAAATTTTAAGTCTTTTTCGTGCAGGGATTTCGCAGTCTGAAGCAATAAATGACTGATTGAAGTTAGATTCCGTATTTTTCGAGAATGTTGAAAAACAGAGAAATTTAAAAAAAACACCAGTATAATAAAAGAAAAAATTACGCTTGATAAAAATACTAGGACACTTTTGGACTGTCGCCAACATTTTTTGAAGGAGACATAAATGACTGGAAATGAGTAACAAATAATTTTGTAACGGTGTACCGTTTTGCTCGGTTTGTCTACAATATATTCCCAATAATTAACGAAATTTAAAAGTAAATGTTTATTTTTGGGGACTTAATTTTTTCTGATTCAATAAAATGGTAGAAATGGTAATGTCGTATCTCAATTACGTGAGTTGTCGCGCAATTTTTCATAAAATTTTTTCTCCGCGCAGTTTCTTCGTTCTGTGGAAAAAAAAACAAATTTTCATTCACCACTTCCCCCGGTAATTGGCAGTGGTAAAGTTGAATATGGCTTGCTATACTTCGCGGAATACGAGCCGGACTCTTATGAATGAAATATTCCAGTTGCAATGCGACTTGTGCACGCAATGGGGCCCAACCGGTCCCCAGATACCGCACGCGTGCTCACGACATCCGAAAGTCCTTTCCATCCTGACTATTATCCTCACGAAAATAATCCCGATAATAATAACAATAAAACTGCCCGAATAAAGAATCCTTTTCTAATTATTTTCATTCTAATTATTAAATTATAAATTAGCGCGTCATGCCTTCATTATCCCCCACACCTGTCTATTCTCTTTATTAATTTTCATGATTAATCATCAATCATCGCTCATTTTCCCTCCATTTATTTACTAGTCTCGGTTATTACTGCAACTTCCTGAATATTGAATCATGACTCTTAATTTTTCTAATTATTGTTAATGATTAATTCTTTATTTAATTTCCTCAATCATCAGGAATGTCAGAATTATAATTGATTCGTAATTGATTTAGAAGGAAATTTTCTAGAAAATTATTATGCATATTTTTATCTTCTCGTGTACTTTCTTTATTATTAATCATAATCGTCGAAGGTATACAGATAGCATAACCAACGACTCTGTACATGTTATAATTAAATAAAGGAGAACATGGAATATCGACGGGAGGGGGATGGAGGGCTTGTTTTAAATAACGAAGAGTATTAACAATGTTTTACCTCCCCCCGGGTCGTGTGGTATATCGTTTTAAAGGAGGTAAGAGCACGGAGCGGCTCCTTTTGGCGTCGTAAAACGCATACGTGTATTATGCAGAGTGAGTCGACTTATGCATATACTAATTTGTGTATTTATGGGGATGGAGGGACGTTTAAAGGATAGATACACGATCCAGAGGATGATCAGTGGGTTTTGTAATGGTTCTGAAGCTTGTCGATACACGCGCCCCATTGCATGATTTTTTTATATCTGCATGGAGGAAAAGAAATTACTTTTCCAGATAAAAATTTGCCAATTATAAATCTTATCTCTAGAAATAACGTTGCACTTGATTGGAGTTAAAATCACTGATTGAAAGGATTTTTTTCATCCTGAAATTTACTTTCTTATACTTTATATTAATATTGACATTTTAAATTAAACACAAATTTTAAATTTCAGGAAATATTAAATAGATTATTAATATTACTTTATGATCAATTTATCCTCACGGACAAAACATACATGTGCAGATAATTAATATATATTTCCCATATTATTGGTTATTCGTTTATTCGTTTTCCATGCGAATAAAAATATTAATGATAATTTTTTTCAACAATACGTTTCCCTGAATTAATGAAATTCGAATAAAATGAATAGTATGTTGTTTGGGAATGAAATTTTGTGGAAGTTTGAAGTAAAAAAGGGGAAACTGTGCATGGAATGGACTATTAATTATCCTTCAACCCTTCGGTATCTTTCTTTAATTGTAATGTGTAAATACACGAGTTGAGGGATATGTGTATGCGGGACTAATAACGTGTTTGAGGAAGGATATAATTGATGCTGATACCTGAGAAAAAGTGTACTGTCTGGGTGATGGGGGCATTTTAAAGCTGAAGGGGGATGCGAGATGTGAAAATACAGGTTGTCTTATTCTTGGTTGGTCGCCTGCGGTGCAACACGAAGATGATATATATTCGTGTGGCAACCAACTGCAGCTGTGCGAACCATCACGCCCGTCGTAAATTCACGGCTGCACTCCAATCTTTTTTCGGGGGAAATTGAAACAATTGTCGATTCATAACACTGCGAGGTGAGACCAATAAATTCTTCAATTGTCGTCTTCGTGATTCAACCCCTCACGGACAAATCTCCACGATAAACTACACGCCGGCACTCACTAATAGTGTATTCTACTCCCAATTCACGAGTTTTAACGAAAAAAAAAAAATTGGAAAATTATCCGGAAATTACATAATGTGTGAGAATTTTTCTTGAGAATTCTGGAATTCCTCAAGTTTTGGAAATTAATGAAATAATGGATTTCTAAAAATATTTGATTATTCTCTGTAAACTCAATTATTTAGTTGATCAATTATTATAATTTTCAATAATAAGTATTCAGTCACGATTAAATCATTAATGATTTACAATTAATTTCGATTCGATGATTTAATGATGGAATAGCAAAAAGTAATATCAACGCATATCCATCAAGAATTAAAAACCTAATGAAGTAATTAATTATCAACAACTGATTTCAACTCATAAATTTCCTATGTTAATTAATAAAGTGTTTATATAATTGATAATAATAATGATAATCGCTCGAAGGAGTTGATGTTTTCTCGAAATAAATTTCTCGAAACAAATAAATAGATAAGAGATTCCCCGAGCGATTCTTCTTGAATTCGAGTCTAAATGTTCACCATCAACATTCCGATGCAATTGCTACTTCATTTATGAAAAAAATGTCAATTTTTTCCCATGGATTTGAACCGAATGACCTGCCACGCCCTGTCGAGGTCACAAGGAATCGAGACCACTTGTATCACATCTATGCGTTCCCATGGTTCGATATAAAAACGCCATTTTCCATGTCACAATGTCGGTTTATGCAGACACACCGGTAATTGATCGGTGCAAATGAATTACCGAGAATTACGAGTATATCGCATTGGATAATAAATAATATCAGCAATGTCAATGGTGTAGCCGTGTCGTGCCATGGAGAGACATTGAGAGAGTATCAGAGCTCGATCCTTCTCCAATGAGCGTATTAATTGCTCATCAGCGGTAATGAAGGGTTTATAAGTCGGTATTAGCATAAGTAACAGGTTTTCACATGGGGTAATGAAGGCAACGCTGTCGCACCGGATGCAGAAACCGTATGTTGCCTTGTGGGGCTGGCAAAACAAACGATCTAGAACGAGATCGATGTGTCTCGGGTGATCATCTTCAACGGGAATGGAATTTTTATGGACAATATGTGATGGGAGAGCTGATGCGATGGTAATGATAATTTTTCTATTTCATTTTTACGGTATTTTTAGAGAGAATTGAACGACTACTCGCATATTCAAATGTCTTCCAGTGGTTTGACACCAGTCGGCTACACATCGAGGCGTTTTCATTGAAATTTACTCAGTGAATATGCAAGACGTGGGTGACAGTGCGAGTAA